AAGTGGAGGTGGTCACTGGTGCAGGGATGAAGGAAGAACCACAAGAAACGGCTCAGAACTCTAAAAATGAAACCCCTCATTTGCGTTGATTTCCGCATTTATGCGACTCTCATCGGTAGTGCCGTGTTCGACGCTAACGCCCTCTCTGCCAAACGGCTACACCCAGTCGGTGGGATGAGAGGGCAATAGTGCGAACCAGCCGAGTCATTTTGTATAGCAGACGCAGGGCCCTGCTAAGCCGCTGGGGTATATCCTTGGCTGCGAAACGCGCATCGTCTCGCACGCTTGGAGATCTCGCCATTCTTCCAACTAGGTATATTTCCCCCTTGCTCGACCTCCTACCTTGTCGAAGAATCTTCTTTACGTGGAGACTTTGTTATAGGTTCCAACAGATCACAAACAGTAGTTTGCTATACAAAATGAACATAATAAGAATTGGTAGCTGTGAGCAACATTTACAAGGCATCACATGAACTAGATGAAAAAGCTCAGATTATGTAGGACCAGAAAAATCGCAGTTCATGAAATCTTGGCTACTTTGTCCAGTAGGTGCACACGTTTGCGTCACCTTTGGTGCTAATTCGCATTATGAAGAGGATGTTGCTAGCCGCCTTTCAATATTAATCAGATTTCAGTCGGCGATAGGTGTCGCCGTAGTCTCGGACCGGCTAGAGTCAACACACGCTAAACGAGTTCTTCCTTTCTAGTCATTATTTGGTATTGTTCTCCGAGGATATCTTGATTTATCGACTCTGCTTCCAGATCTGCTTCGGTTTCCGTCTGCTGCTGCAAGGACGGCGACACTTTGCAGCAATGATATTCCATACCGATTATACTTTGTGGCCATGCTTCTGGCATTGATTCCACTAGCAAGACATTACGTACCTATCCTGCTCGGTCTGCAAGAACCACCTTATCAGGAAAGTAGGTTATTTGGAATTTAGCAAAAGGGAGCTAAAAAAACCTAAAAGATTTTCGGTGCTAAGACAGAAATGACAGTCTATGGCTAGGATGGATGAAAAGGATCTAGAGTATCGAACTAGTATGAAATTCTAAACTCGGTAAACGAATATATTATAGTTGTCTTGTGGGTGTTTGAGGTGCAAGAATGTTTCAGACGGCTTTTTTCGAATACTAAAGGAATTGACCACGGGCAAATTATTATTTTATCTCAAGCTAAATCAATGGCACGAGACCCTTCATCCACGATAAGAAAGAAACGGTCATAGACTCTTGTTTTGGTAAGAATTCGAATGACTGGAAGGACCGTTACACGTGCAAATACTCGCTATACATCTGTCATAACAGTTGCGACGAGAACGATTTGATTTGTTTCCCAGAGTACCTTCACTGGACCTCTTCTTTGTCTTTTCCATGCATTGGAATGGAATTTTTCCTCTTTACTGCATCTCTTTAGTTGCCTTCTTCCGTTATTATTCTCCCAATTCGAACGCTTTCTGATCTGCAAATGCATATGAACCCGAACTTAACCCGATTCTTTCTGCGTCGCTCGTCATATTTAGTGTAATCGCATATATTAGAAGTACATGAATAGTGACTCTATTACCTTTTCGCTTATTATTTGCATACGCCTTACATTCGCACTTACGCTTACGCACACACTCGCTTTATCACACATTTACACACTAACATATCTATAACAAGTAGTCGTGCTTCCGTAGGCGATGTTGTTCCTATGACGTTCATCTGATATTGCGCTATCTCACGAAGAAGAGAAATATTGTAGGGAAAGTGGGGTGTGGGGGGATATTAAAAGAAAAGTTACGCTCCCTTGTAATTTTGGTCTTATTTACTTGGAAAAATTGTTGGAAACCACTGAAAAAAATTGAAACATTCTCTTGCCGAGGCCTTCCATATCAGATTATAGGTTGGTCCGACCCTTAATCTGAAGGTGTGTAGCGGTAGTTTGGGGAATACATAACATTTGGACTATACATCTTTATTACTTATTAATGATAGAAGAGATAAGGGTGAGAAAGGGGGAAGGGGGAGTGAGTGCCGGCTGACGACTGACGACCGTCCGTTGGCTGGTGACCTCTCCTTAAGTACTGTCCTCCGTGTGAGGAACGACCGATGGCAGTTGCTCAGATACCGTAATCCTGAGCACGCCTCTCCAACGACTACACGGCAGGGTGAATATCGCTTGAAGATTCCTCAACGGCACGTCGAGGATTCTCTGCCCGATCAGACACGATCTCTCGCGCGGACATTCACACTCGCCATGGGCGTGCCGTCTGTGCTCTCCGCGCGGATGTTCACTCTCGGCACTACTCTCGCATGGTAGAGAGCTATGGTCGAGGGAAATCCTCGACCGTTATTCACCTGCCTCCGGACTATGCTCCCCCTTACCCTCCCCCTCCCCCCCCCTCATCCGGCTGCCACGGCAGCACCATGTAGAATGAGACTGAGTGTGCTCGATCGGTGTTTATATAGCCGCTGTGGGTGTTATCATGATCATGACATCAACATCTCGAAGTGTTGCCCTTCGTACTCCCTGGTTTTGTGAGCGGTTGGTCCGGACGGACAGAACGACACACGCACACACACACACCGACAAACCGACACACCAAAGTTCTGGTTTATATAATGAAGTGATAGTTCGCCGATCACTCCTCCTTTCGACCCTCATCTTGGTCCTGCAGACGATCGACACAGTCTTTAGCCCTTTCGGCACGTCGACGCACGCATCTAGTGGAGCAGGGATGCAGGTATGTCATCTACCCGTTGCAGACAATCAAGGCTGTCAAGAAGTCACGACCCGTCACACATTGAAGAGCATTCTCGTCGCACGCGTTTCTCCCTACTGAGGGTGCAGCGGCCACCCCGGATTCACACATTTTGCCGTGATTCGCGGTGCACACTACCGATGCATTCTCAGTTCCGCTCTGCGCTCAAGAAACCTTCTGCGCTGCTTTTTCTTGAGGTGTAGGACCTTAACTGGATTCATAAAAGTCTGAATAGTACTGGCTAACATCTTGTTTTGCAGAGGACGACACAAACACAATCAGTACCAATATTGGATTTCTTATTGAGCCATCAGTAGACTACAATGTACGATTACTCGTTATGGTGAACTCAATGCCGGATCGCTTCGAGGAGCGGCAAATGATCCGAACGTCATGGGCTTTGCCGGACTTATACGATGAGCGAAACACCAAGGTGTTGTTTCTAATCGGCAAACCGGTTCGTTAACACTCATGATTTCTTGTTGCTAATTGTGCAGATGATCCTAATACATCACAATTTGTCATCTGCATTTCACTTTGAAGTAAGCAGTGCCAGACATATTCTCAGGCAACCATGAAAAGCTCACATCTACTCAAAAGCCTCTGAACGTAGGGAGCAACAAGACTATGGCCTCTGGCTCAAGTCGATCCCCTTTATCGCGGCGTACTAAGCGTGCAAAACCATTGAAAATCGTAGTACCACTTGCCTGCGCACTTGTCCCTTTACTGTTCCCATATCTAAACATTTTGAAAGAGTGTATTTTAACTTTTTTTTCTGACATCAAGTAATCTGCCACGAAAGGGCTCAGCTGTTCTGTGTGGCAATGGAGGGTTCAGCCAACGGAAGCGGCGAAGGGTGAAGCGTCAGTTAAATCTTGACACGCCTCACATATTTTTTAGTGAAATAGGGCACTATAGTAGAGGCATTCTCTAGGACTAGGTCTAGGAGAGGGCAAAAACTTCGGGGAAAATGAAACTTGCTGACGTATCCTGTAGTCTTTCCTCCCCCGTCTGAGGTTCAATCCCAATTTCACAAAAAGATGTTTTATGTGGCACAAATACATTGTCACCACAGTGCCCGATACTGCGATAGCGTCTAAAATACTTATATTTAGCATGGCTGCGCCAACTCATTGCCGGTTGGTCACAATCCTGCGTAGTATGATTCACATTTTCCCTTCCCGAATTAGCCTAATCTCAACCATCCAACTCCTGGGAGGATTGGACAGCTGAGATTAGGCTAATTCGGGAACGCTTGAGCCGGGTTCTCGACTCATCTTCGAGCAACTCCACCTGTCACGACTATGCTCGTGTCGTTCTTGGACCCCCTACATTTTCCATACCAGGAAGACATTCCAAGCACTCTTTTTTTTCTTTGCGATATATGGAGGGAAGTCGCTTTAGACCTCTCTAGAAATCGAAGAATTGCTGGCAATCGAAGAAGGACGATTTCATGACATCGTCGTAGCCGACATACGGGAAGATTACTACTCGCTATCATTGAAAACCTATGCAATGCTATATTTCAAGGTTCACAGGTAAGGTAATTGGTACAATTTTATTCATGTACATATCAGAAAATGTTGAGAGTGGATCTTTTTTCAATTGTTTCTGGTTTATTCATTACCTCACAAGTAGATGTCTATAAAGCGTTTAGTTGAAGAAATCCAGCACTCAAAGCCTTTTTTAGAGTGCCATCAGCAAAATGCCTTGTGAAAGCCGACTCGGATAACGTACTGCTCATTAGAAACTATGAACGCCTTTGCGAGGAAACAAGTACGGCTTTTTCTGAATTACCTGAAAAGGTTTTGCTGCGATGGCTACACTGTCACTGTCATATGCTCACTATTTTCATCATTCGCAGAAACAGAGCCTCTGTCGTTAGATACAAGCCTGCTCGTCGCGCAATATCTCCGAAGACTTCTAGTGGCGCGTCTTCAATAGTGCACCATGATCTTCCCTCTTCTGATCTTGTCTTCACTCTACTCTTCCTCGGAGGCGTACCATAATGTGTTTTTTGCTCCTCTATATCTTCTCCATAGAAGTGCTATTTATCAATCTTACTATAAGTATAAGCGGCTAGCGTGTGTCTGTTGGTGTGTGTGTGTTTGACCGGAAATTCATAGCTCGAGTCACAGTAACGATAGCGCAGTGGTTCTTACATATGTTATAGGGGTTTGATAGGGACACAAGTGGGGCTAGAAAGCGAGCATCGCCAATTTCGTTTTGCCGTTCATATTGGTAAAAGAGCGTCTATACTTACAAGTGTTATGTGGGGCGGTCCCGGGACATTGGTGGTACATGATTGGAAGCGATAGCAACTGATAAGGCTGATAAGATGCGTCAGAACGCAAAAGTCGTCGATTCCGTTACTAGCTCGCGTTGACACCAGAGCAACCATACTTACAAGTGTTATGTGGGGTGGGACGGGGACATTGTTGGTGGGTGATTGAAAGTGATAACAACTGATAAGGGCTGATAAGGCGCGTCAGAACGCAAAAGTCGTCGATTCCGTTACCTGCTCGCGTTGACACCAGAGCAACCATACTTACAAGTGTTATGTGGGGTGGGACGGGGACATTGTTGGTGGGTGATTGAAAGTGATAACAACTGATAAGGGCTGATAAGGCGCGTCAGAACGCAAAAGTCGTCGATTCCGTTACGTAGCTCGCGTTGACACCAGAGCGTCCATACTTACAAGTGTTATGTGGGGTGGGACGGGGACATTGTTGGTGGGTGATTGAAAGTGATAGCAACTGATAAGGGCTGATAAGGCGCGTCAGAACGCAAAAGTCGTCTTCCGTTACGTAGCTCGCGTTGACACCAGAGCGTCCATACTTACAAGTGTTATGTGGGGTGGGACGGGGACATTGTTGGTGGGTGATTGAAAGTGATAACAACTGATAAGGGCTGATAAGGCGCGTCAGAACGCAAAAGTCGTCGATTCCGTTACCTGGCTCGCGTTGACACCAGAGCAACCATACTTACAAGTGTTATGTGGGGTGGGACGGGAACATTGTTGGTGGGTGATGAAAGTGATAGCAACTGATAAGGGCTGATAAGGAGCGCTAGAGCGCAAATGTCACGAAATTTATAACGCGCGGCCCAGCAGCAATAAGGTGCTGATAACAGCTGATGAGGACTGATAAGAGCGATTAGCTCGAAACGGAGAATTCACTAAATCTGCATATGCGCGATGAGGAGAACACTTCGTTCTACTTGCGTTATCATCGTCAGCATCCTTCAGACCGATAATTTGCCCGAGTTCCTCAAAATACTCGGTGTGAGCGGAAACACGATAAGCAGTGGTGTTTCTATTCAATGTCACCGGTATAGAAAAGTATCCGACCGCTAAATCACTACAACATCCGAGGCATGGTGGTTGTTCGCGCTAAGGGTGATAATGAGCAGCAAAGTAATTGTTTTGCTTATTCCAAGCCTAATCGGCCGCTAGACCGTGTTAGTTTTCGGAAAATGATGGATGTTTATGGGTATTGTTGACCTATGAGGAGTTACAGCTTTATCACCATCACTGTAAGAACTCTCCAGTCAAATGCATAAATGCATGCATGTTGCTTAATACAAGAGCCCGGCTATGCTCAGTCTGCTGGAGGCTACTTTGACATGCGCGCGAAAGCGAGCGGGGCCAAAATAGTTTATATATATGCTTCTTATCTCAGAAGATGTACGTGCCTTTGCTACATAGTAGCACGATTGCAGCGTGCGATGTGACCTGTGGACAAACCCACGCCCCACGATGAGTTCTGGTACATCTTCTTAAGGGCATAGATCTGCCGCTCGGATGTGTCGCTCTCGCTGGTCGAAATTTGCAACAGCATGGAAGTCTTCTCTTGGTCCAGGTGCCTCTGCTGATGCAGCAAACTACATAGCAAGGTATATGCAGGCCCTTGTGACTGTATCTCCTCACTCCTCATTACCTCTGCTCATTACTCAGCGCTCATTGTTTTTAAGCCTTGGCAGAGACCGCATTACGAAAAAAGTAGTCCCTATTGAGTAACTTTCAACGAATGCGTTTTTTTCCCTTGATTGTCAGCCCAATTCCCTCTATAGCTCCAATCTTCGCGTACGAAGACTGCAAATGTGGGGCATGCATTTGACGGCGTGAGCACCACACTGTGACTTAGTTAGATACCATAGGAAACACGGTGTTATCTGAGTGAGCTGCTATCCTTCATATCTCAAATGCACAATGCTGGATGGGTTCAGCTGGATGGGTCCCTTCGATGTGAAGGATAGATCTCTCAGGAAGGTTGCCGATGTCCTGTTTTTTGAAGTGCACTCCAAGGGCGCTACAGAGTTGCAAAGACCGCTTGATTGCGGCGAAATTCATCGAAATTTCTTGGTACTGACTCTTATTGTTCCTGGCATATCATTGCTTACCTTCGTCTGAACATCTGATGAACAACCAGTATTTTACAGGAATTAGCCGTTTAGCAATCGAATAAGCTTGGTTGGTAGCGATCGGGGGGGGGGACATAAACATCCACCTAGTGAACATATGATACTTGAGCTGTATTGGTCATTTTGTAAACGTTAACCTTGCAGAGTATTTCCTTTAGTTATGCACTACTGCAAATTGCTATATTCTGCTGTCCACACGACACTCATCCCTCTTGCTACGCTGTACTCCTTACTTTATACTCGGCCCAAGCAGCTTTCGCAACGCGAAGGCGGCACAAAACAGCATTATCCAGTGAAAAATATCCTTATCATTATCCACCTCCAACCTCCTGATCTTCATTTTCGTTTGCATTCCAATCATGTGGCATCGCTACAAAAGTCTGTAACTCCTTTCGTGACATTTCCTTCCTTGAACGTCTTGACAGTCCTTATCAGCTGCTATCAGTTTCTAACACCCTTCCAACTCCATGTACTCCACATAGCTCCAAGAACTCTACTGTAAAAGCAATCGACACAAACACTTACTTACATTCTAATGCTCCTCAGTTCGTATCATACCTGTATTCACATCTGATGTCAACCTGACTTTACTGTTTTCGACGTTCTTAGCGTCACTAGACAGTATCCTTATCCGTGTTTCCTTTCAGGTCAGATATGGTTACCTGATATATATATATATATATATATATATATATATATATATATATATATATATATATATATATATATATTTATATATATATACCAGTTGGCGCCGCACGCATTGCGCGCGCAACACAGATCTGCGGCGAATTTTGATGGTGCGACGAAAATTTTCAAATTTGGCTTGATACACCACGAATATCTGAATTCTCAGCTAAATTCTATCCGCTCCATCATCGACGGCTTTCAACCTCTTTTTCTTCGTCAACCATTATCCTCTTTTCCCGGTCTCCGGACTGCTTCCGGACAATAAATCTCGTGGCAAACTCCGCCTACTTCGGTGCGTGCTCCCGCCCACCAATAGCATTTGGCCCCCTTCCTTTCGCCGACCTCTACCCCCTTTTTTCACCGGTCTCTGGGACCTCTTGGAAGCAGCTGATCTCTTTTCCCTCGCCAACCTCTAATAACCCCGTTTTTCCCTATCTCTAGGACTTCTTGCAGCCGAGTTATGAATTTTCGTCGCAAACTCCGCCCACTTTGGTCAAGCCCCGCTCACCGGTGATAGCTGGGCTCCACTCCTCCACCCACCATCCACCTTTTTCCCTGCCTCCGGGACTTCTTGGAGCCGAATTACAATTTTGGCGCAAACTCCGCCCATATTAGCGCACGCTCCACCCAACCGTAGCAGTTAACTTCTCTTTCTTTGCTGACCTTCATATCCACTTTTTTCCCGTTCTCCAGGACTTCTTGGAACCAAGTTATGAATTTTCCTGGGTAACTCCGCCCACTTTGGCCATGCTCCGCCCACTAATGGTATTTAAGTTCCACTCCTCCACCCACCTCTACCCACCTTTTTCCGTGCCTCCGGGACTTCTTGGAGCCGAGTTATGAATTTTCGTCGCAAACTCCGCCCACTTTGGTCAAGCCCCGCCCACCATTGACAGCTGGCCTCCACTCCTCCATACACCTCTATCCACCTTTTTCCGGCTCTTTAGACTTCCCCGACCCGAATTATGAGGGCTTGTAGAAAATGCTGTACACTTCAGAGCGCGCCCCGCCCATTCTGGGCGGGCCTCCGCCCACGTCATGTATGCAGGAAACACCTTAGACATTGCTCCCTTACACCAAATTGTTTTCTGCTCTGTAGGCTTTCTCCCAACCGAGTTATGAAATTTTTCATAAAGCACTGCTTTTTTAGAGAACGCCCCGCCCACCGGGGGGTGGGTCTCCCTAATTCGATGTGACTTACCAATGCACACCTTAACCCACTTTTTGGCCCAGTTTCGAGGTCGTTTTGTCACTGAAATCGAAATCTTGGTCTTCGGTACAGTTCATTTCGACGCACGCCACGCCCTCTGTGGGCGGGGCTCCGCTTAGCTGATGTGTGTTTTGTATTTCGTGAGACCTTGCCCACCCATCCCACACTTGACCCGGTCCCTCCAGGCGGATCCCGAGGAGCTAGGGAATTTCGTGACAGACACACAGACAGACGACAGACGAAGCGCTTTATAGTAAGTAGGATAGGGCGTTAACTTCTTTTTTTAACTAACTCTGCTATGTTTACCGATGGCGCACCTTGTGTGTATGACAAGTAAATAAATAAATAAATGTTTCGTCCCATCCAACATAACACTTATGAATGCAAATGTCATACTGACAACGCAAACGGCGTACGTAATTAAGTGACACTAACGTTACGACGCTTCTTATCGGTCCATATCAATCGTCAGTTACTATCTCGCACCATTTGCGTCTCTGTCCCACACTAAACGTATGAGTGCGACCTTTCTACTATCATCGCAAACGGCGTTGCTAAGGTGGTAACATTAGCATTCTGTGCCCGTTATCACCTCTTATCACTTGCTATCACCTTTTAACCCCCACCAATGGTGTCTTCGTTCCATCCCATATAATCTTGTCAATGAAAACATTCTAGATCAACGCGAAGGGCGTGCCAAGTTGATGACGCTTGCGTTAAGACGCCAAGATTAGCTCGTACCCTTTTCTCCTAACTGCCATCTGTTTCCACATTGGCACCTTTACTCCCTCTGAGTTTGACGACACTATGACCAATGGGAGTAACATTATCAATTTCCGGTCAGACAGACAAGCACACACAGACACTCATGCACAACCGCTTAGCGATTCATGCGTAGTAGGACGAATCTTGTTGCGAGAAATTCTATCTGACTTCATATTCTACACTTGAATTTTTAGTATTCTATAAATTTGAGGCGATTTCGTTGTATACTGGCTGCGCTAGGCGAACAAAGTTTCCGAACTTTTGACTTACTGTGGAATTAGTAGTACTAACAAATGAATTAGAGCCTTTTCTAAAGAACTTGCTTTTCATTTGGACCCCGCATCGTCGGCAAGTGTGACGTCTCAACCAGAGTCCAACGAAGTCGCACGAAATGGAGTATACCGGAGTCTATCTACCCACATCCACGATTTCCGATGTATTGCTCAACAGGAACGTATATGCTATGCGGTTGGTGATGTTTGATTGAAATCAATAGAAAGAAAGAATGAATTGTAAAAGAGTAAGAGGCATCTTGGCCTTTGGATTTGTCTGGCGAAGGCAAGGAAAATGAGCTACGTTCTTGTTTTCTCTACTGCGTTGACTTTTTTGACAAGATTCCACCTATTTCTGTTGCTGTGAGTTCAAGAAACCAGAGTGTGCTTCCACCCTGAGAATTCAAAATTACGCAGGCAAAACTCTGTATGGGTTCAAAAAACATGAAGAAATAATCGCACAAGTAAGTGCTCTCGCTGTTGGAATACCCCTACATACACAATTTGCACAAACGCAAATATTGGTTTATGCTCAAACGACGCAATTCTTCTTTGACTGTTTTTACAGCTCAAGTCTTGCCATGGTGGACTTCAGAAGAAGCCGCAGCGAGTGCGTGACGAGTTGCATAGTTGCAGTCCATTCTGGTCAAATGCAAACTCTACCTCTAACCATTTTTTGCTTTATTAATTGTCTGGATTGATATGTTCTGCTAACTGCCTCTAACTTCAAAAAATGTGAGAGGGTCCGCCAAGTGTCTTTCAACGTCAGTGTAGGCTGAACAATTGTAGCAACATGCCTTTTACTCCACCAGATTGAGTCATTAGGTAATTTGTTTGTAGCACATGTAACTTTGTTAAGCACATATTACGGTTTGACAATTTCCTTTTTTTAACAGCTCTGCAAATATTTGCAACGGTATGACCCTCCTTCGAACAACATACTAGGCAGTCTCCTGATAGGTCGGCAAATGTGCCATGTAGAATTTATGAAATTGAGCACGAAAACCATTAGCATGCAAGCAAGCATGTCAATTTATAAAAATGTCATGCGATAATTCAGGGCCTGATGTAGCAGAACGACTCATGAACGCATCTCAAAAAAGTTGGTTTCCTCATTCAGCCAACTACAGGTGAATCCTCTTCGAATTTCATATTCAAATCGCTATCCAGTTTTCTGTTAACGCGCGTTGCTCTTCGGCATGATGTCCAGAACATTTTGTAAGTGGATAATGCAGAGCACCCGATAGTTGGCTTGGGCGCCTTGAGGCGCTAAGGCCTTGCAGGGATATTTCATCATCTTCAATTTTGCCCGTCAGTGTGTTGTTTGGCGCCTCTTATCTAATGCGCTCTTTCGCCTCATACTTTACTCTCTCCCATTGCCATGACACGGCCGCATTACGTGAGCAAGGTCTCAACTCAAACATTTTTGATGGAAATCTTCTATTTTGCCGGCCCATTGCACCACTTTCATATTTGTGTGCAAGAAATACACCAGTTTGGCTCATGCCTTGATCTGGTAGCGCAGCTAAAATGGAGCTATCTCTAATTTAGCAATCTTCTTTCCACAGGTCCACTGCAATATGGATGTTTCCTTGGAGTGTTCATGAAATTTCTTGGAACAAAATCAGCCAGCAGCTCAGCTCAGCTACAATATAGTCCGCATCTTCTTGGTTCAGGCCTCGCCATTTCTCATGCAGCGACTGAACTCCTTATCAACGAACACGAGTAACTGAGCCAACAAACTTGGTGTCGTGCCCATGGACAGGGGTCGAGACGAGCGCATCGATGGCTTGCCCACGAGGCGCAACAAACGTGGGATTCCAATGGGTGCTATGCTTGCACTTCAATTTTATCCCGGCAGCCTTTTATACCAGAATTAAGGAATGGCCTGATTTGTAGTTCTGAATTCGCTTCATGCAATTAACATTATGCGACATGAGATACCATAACGTAGTTGGTTTGTTCCAAAGTGCTGCTTGGCTGAAATAGTTTTCAGAACAGATTGTGCTTCTGCAAGTTCGCAGCGAAGGCTTCATATATGTACCTGGCTTTTCAAACAACTGCAACTGACTCCATAGTTTTCCATTGTGGAAATGCATTTAGTGTTCCATTAATAATGAGCACTATTAAGGAAGCTTCCTGAAGACGCACTGTTCACAGGGATTTTCGCCGAGAAAGCTGGTATACGGCGGAAGCACGTTGGTGGAATGTCCTTTATTGACGCGCCAGAATACATTTGCCGCGAGGGCAAACACACTTACAGTATTCATATGAGTCGGGCCAAGGACCCACAACGATATTATAGGCGCCTGACTTCAATGGAGGGCCACCCATGTCGCATCTGATCTCATCCTATTTTTGTGTTGTTGTTTTTTGTCTTCCTGTGTTACTTGTTTCTGAGAACAACAGTTGCCTTGACTAATAAAGCAACGTCGGAAATGACTTTCTTTCATGCCAGGCATAACAGAAAATTATAGGAGACAACCTGTCAGTCTAGTTGATGACAGATGTGTGAGGTTTAGTCTAAAATTTCAACCACGAAATTTTGAAATTCCAACATATCTTTGTCCATCTCGTGAAACATTTGAAGAGCTCTATCACGGTTTATTCCAGCGGAATTTTTCTGGCTTTGCTAAGTTTAACAGCTAACTAGATGGACTAAGAAATGAGCCAGCCGCTGCGGAGTGAAGTGGAAATTCTGTTACTAATCTCCGACCTCCGTCGGTTTTAGAACTAGGCACTCCACGTGGATAATCACAAATTCTGTGCATTTACATGATGAATTTTTTTATGCGCAAGAAAGGCTTGGAAGCATTCCGAAACGCCTCATGATGTTACCATCAAAGAATGGAGTAGAGGAATGGAGGACAAGCTGATGAGTGGAGTTGATCTCTTTTTATGGAAAAATGCAAAAGTACCACTTGGTCTCACACCTTTGCATTTATTTGTGTTAAGCTTTAGTATACTTCAACAAGATGAGAGGTTATGGACAGCAACATTTTCAGGAGATTGTAAATTTCGGGCTTCGTTTTATATAGAAACCAACATTTATAGTGTTAGCCAAAGAATGTTTATTTGAGAGACTCTACCCTACAGAGCCTATTTTGCAGTTACGCATGATATTGGGTCGGAGCATAATATCGTAGCGCTCGCATTCGGCAAAAACGTTTAAAGCAAAACCCAAAAGCAAAGCCAAGCATAAAACTGATCAGTGATGTTCTTCTCGTCATTATTTACGACTTTGGTTCCATTTCGCAAGAAATTACCGGGTTTAGAAATCAAAAAAGGGTAGTGAGCCCGTTTTCAGAACCTCACTATTCTCAACCTGTAATTATGATTAAAGATAGAAAATATGAAAAAAATGGAGTAGAAATATGATTTAAATCAAGGATCGACTGGAGTAATGGTTCGATGATGACGATGGATTCCGAAAAACTCCTATTTTGGCAGCTTTTTTCTCTATATAGATTTTCGCCCACCTTGATTCTCCAACTTCTAAGCGCCATATCTGAGTACACTTACAGTATAGAAGAAAATGCCAAACATGGTATTGTAGAGCAGAAGAAGTACTTTCAAATGATATATGTGATTTCCTGGGTAATACTTGTATTCACTGAATTCGTAGCTCGAAATGAAAAACGCTACGATATTATGCTCCAACCCAATATTACGTTTACGATGGTGAACATAAACTTTTGGTAGCAAGGCGTATTAGTAATAGTTCCCCTTGCTCGTGCAAGGTCGAGCACATAGATTATTGGCCGCCTGCAGCGTATCGCAATCGAGAGCGCTGTCAATAGTTTTGTATGATTTATTAGGTTGGTAACTTTGAAATGTCGTTTTTGATCAACGATTATTTTAAGTATAAAAGCTATATCCAAAGCACATCAACCTAATTTATTTCCTTTATGTGTGTCATCCACTCTCCACCTTTTGTTATGCAAAGCATGGAGGCCTACCTCGTAGAACTCTTTCAGGTACGACTCGAAGAAGTTAGGTACTCAAATTTTGACGTCGTCGCGGTTATTGAATTTATTTGCTGCTAAGGATAGCGAGGGCGGAAGTGGCGTAGTGAGAGGGCGGAAGTGGTGTAGTGGCAAGTGGCACGCTTACCACGCGAGCGGTCCGGGGATCAAATCCTGGGTCGTGAGTCGCCCGGGCCAACCAAGCCTTCCATCCCTCCGGGGTCGGTTAATTGGTACCAGACTTGTCTGGGAGGATAAAAACACTGACTTGTACATCGGCTGGCCCCCGCAAGTCATTGTATAGGCCACATCGCATTCAAACGCCACTACGAATGTACAAATGGAAGTAGAATGCGTGCCGCATCCCAAAAAGGGGCTGATCAACGGAAAACGCTTTATCCTTTTTTGTTCTTTA